TTTTTTTTTTCGAGTGCAATTACTAATAAATATATATTGTAGTCAATCTAGTTGTTACTCAAATCAAATAAAATCAATTGTAGGGATCGTTTTAAGGGGATTTTATACCCTTATATTTTCAAAAAAGAAGAGAAGCTTTAAATTTTTTGAATGATGAGTATTTATTCATGATTAACATTTTTTTATTTTATTTAAGATCTTTTTGAATTTTAAAACTTAAAATAACTTGGCTTTTTTTTTTTATCGCAATATACATAGAGGAGTGAAGCTAATGAGATTCAAACTTCATATCTAGAGGCAAGGTTTTGCAAAGACATCTTGACTAGTTCTCTCTTTACTCTAATAAATTTAATTTTATGACATGCATAAATTCTTATTATTCAAAATACATTATTTTTTTTATTCATTTAAAAATTGGAGAGATACCAAGTCCACTTAAATATGGAAAGTCAACCACTGAACGGTTGGTTCAGTGGCTAAGAATTTCAATTTTCTCGTTCAATGCTTGAGTTTGAGTCCCCATAGGTACGGTAGCTCGGTGGGGTTAAACCTACTTTTCAGTACCCACAATATGCGATCATAGAATATTACCTAAATTGTGGGTTGCTTTGGTATGGGTACGGGTACATGGTACGACACTTTTTTAAGTACGCGGTATGATGGTTGTAGGTTTAGCTAGTACAATGTTTTGAGTCGCAATTCGTTTTGGAATTCTTATTTAGATCGTTTTCATTATCACACAACATTATATATTACAGAACATTCATAAACACTAAGTTAGTTATTATTTATCTTANCGTGATATGGGTACGGGTACATGGTACGACACTTTTTTAAGTACGCGGTATGATGGTTGTAGGTTTAGCTGGTACAATGTTTTGAGTCGCAATTCGTTTTGGAACTCTTATTTAGATCGTTTTCATTATCACACAACATTATATATTACAAAACATTCATAAACACTAAGTTAGTTATTATTTATCTTATAATTGTACTTGATTTTTTATTATCTAAAACAATATATAATTATAAATTTATATACATTTAGTCAATTAATATGTATTTTATATTTGTGCTACATATTCTTAAGCGAATTAATTTAAAGTTAATATTATAATTTGGGGTCGTCCATTTTGGTGATCTGAATCGCGAACTCACCTTGTTTGGGATCGATGTACCAAGATCGTGAGTCGTTAAGGGTTTAGTGAATTGTGGTAACCATTAAGACCTTAGTTTTGGCTTAGGTGCGGTGAGATCTCCTGCATTGCTGTGNGTATTATAATTTGGGGTCGTCCATTTTGGTGATCTGAATCGCGAACTCACCTTGTTTGGGATCAATGTACCAAGATCGTGAGTCGTTAAGGGTTTAGTGAATTGTGGTAACCATTAAGACCTTAGTTTTGGCTTAGGTGCGGTGAGATCTCCTGCATTGCTGTGGAAGAAAAAAGGAAAGTCGATGCTTTGGGTCAATTAGAGATTCATTGCAAACCAGAAGGACAAAATGGGATACTCGTTCGATAAATCATGAAAATTGAGAAAATAAAGGGGGAGAAAATTGAAGAAATTGCAAAGGCAAAAAGCAAAAAAGAGGAATCCACCCAAGGAGGGTCTTGCGTCTGATTAGCTAGTTAGTGAGGCAATAGTTTACTAAGATGATGATCAGTAGCTTGTTTGAGGGGATGATCAGCCCCACTGGGACTGAGACATGGCCCAGACTCTTGCGGGAGACAGAAGTGGGGAATTTTTTGTAATGGGCGGAAGCCTGACGGAGCAATACCGCGGAATATTTGATGGAAGAACGGGGGATCTTTTTGAACAACCTGTAATAATAGGAAAGTCTTATATCTTGAAATTAATTGATCAAGTTGATGATAAAATCCATGGACGTTCCAGTGGACATTATGCACTTGTTACACNTTGTAATAATAGGAAAGTCTTATATCTTGAAATTAATTCATCAAGTTGATGATAAAATCCATGGACGTTCCAGTGGACATTATGCACTTGTTACACAACAACCCCTTAGAGGAAGAGCCAAGCAAGGGGGACAACGGGTAGGAGAAATGGAGGTTTGGGCTCTAGAGGGATTTGGCGTTGCTCATATTTTACAAGAGATACTTACTTATAAATCTGATCATATTAGAGCTCACAAGGAAGTACTTGGTACTACAACCTGTCGCAAGGTTGGAGTTCCTTTGCTTGCAACCCGAAGAGTAAAACTAAAAACAACTCTTCTGTTCATTCTCAGTTATTGGTATAACCCTTTGTGCACAGAGTATGTAAACGTTTAGCTATATTGCTTCCACTTTTGTTGTTTAGTACTCCTATTTGAATATGTACTCTTGTTCAGTATTGCTTGATCTTTTTGTGTTAATTATTTCTTGCGTTTCCGAAGTGTGAAAGCAACTAGGTTTCTGTAAATGTCATGATTTATTCGTAGTAGTATTAGTATTCTGGGTCAATATCTGCCGATGTTATTGAGTTGAGATCTCGAACCAAAATTCTATTTCTCATGATCTGGTCTATTCTGTTTGTTTTGTTGATTTTAATATTGTTTTTTAAGATGCTTTTATGGGTTCTCACTCAAAGATCATGCGAAGCACCTTGATTTTTGAAATTCTTTTATTGGGTATCTAGTATGTTAGTTGGTTGAATGGTCATAGCTCATGAGAATTTTTGATGGCAGACAATTTGTCCATTCATAAATTGTATGAAGATATAGTAGTGGCGGAGTGGGAAGAAAAATTGATGTTGCTGTGATATTGTTAAGACAACAGTATAGGTGAAATTAAGATATGAATAGTTTTGCATCATTTCTTGTTAATATCAGAGGATTCTATTGGAATTGTGGTGACCTCATGACATTGCCGGAGAGGTGACGTGGACTGACAATTCGGATATTGCACATAAAAGCTTCATAAAATGCTACTGTTCCTAATTCTGCCCAATTTTTTTGTTATATGGTTCTTCCGAAATGAATCTATGCTTAGATGGTGGTTGTGAACAGGATATTAGAGTGGATGCTCAACAATTGACTCTATTTAATTAGGCTTCTTATTCCTTTGTGGGTTTTAGGATTTTGGCATGATGATATTGGAGAAATGAAGCTCCTTTTTCCTGTTGGTGGTTACTGATAACAGATAACTGAGCAGATACAACAAAGCAAAGANAGGCTTCTTATTCCTTTGTGGGTTTTAGGATTTTGGCATGATGATATTGGAGAAATGAAGCTCCCTTTTCCTGTTGGTGGTTACTGATAACAGATAACTGAGCAGATACAACAAAGCAAAGATGTTTTCCTTATTCTATGGACTTTGGAAGTATATATTCAGTAAGACAGAGTTTCATGTTCTTATTCTCGGGATCGACAAGGCTGGCAAAACAGTAAATATGTTCACTAGTTTTATTGCATTTTTATTGTAGTTCCTGAAATATTGTTAATTGCTTCATAATTACACCCACTTCAATTTCAGGTCATTTCATGATTTTGCATTTAGTTATCCCTGCACATATTTGTTGTTTTATCTTACCCATTTTAACATTGATGGATTTTTAGACATTCCTGGAGAAACTGAAGTCACAATATTCAAACTCAGAAGGCCTGCCTCCAGATCGGATTATTCCAACTGTGGGACTTAACATTGGTCGTGTTGAAGTGTCAAATACAAAGCTTGTCTTTTGGGATCTGGGAGGACAGGTAATTAACCTGCCATAAGACCGATTATGAACTAGTTTCACGAGTTCATTGTATTTTTACACTTATTTTAGTAAATCATAATAAAGATACCCTACTATTTCCCAAAGTTCCAAATGTTGTTTCCTCGCATCATAATAATGGTGCTCCAATTTATTCTTTCATGACTGCCATTCTGCTGCTGCTAGATCCATGGCTATATGAGATTTTTACATCTGTGGTCAGTCTTTTTCTAACTTTACTGTGTTCATTCACTAGATTAGCTGATCTTACGTGATTATTTTTGCCTCCATCGGGATCTAAATGCTTTTTGTGCATAGATACTTAAAAAATGGCAACCTGCAACAAAGAGCTTGTAGATGTTTCATTGCTCTAGATCCATGAACCAAAGTTGGGGGACCTTACCTTCACCTTATCAGAAGAGCTCTTTGACATGAATGAAAAATTCAAAATCTGTTTTCTTATAACTGGAAATACCTGGATAAATTTATTCTGGACTAGGTTTACCAAAAACTGTGAAGGTCATATAAGAAGTACGCAAATCCGAAAAGGAGGTTTTATAGGATTTAAGAATTGGGGCTTCTCAAGTGTTTGTAATTGTTTCTTCAATTACACTTAACTATCTTATCAGAAAATGTTAAAGTTTACTAGCTACAAGAGTTCAATTAGATTTAAGCAACTAGATTGAGGCTTTTCTGACTCTCTCTGAGGGGGTTATATACTAAGCAGGCTGGTTGATCCCTCTCATTTAATATCTTCTGGTGCAGTATTTGACTGTCTGTTACTAAAGCAAAGCCTTTGTTCTATCAGCTTGGTCTTCGCTCAATTTGGGAGAAATATTATGAAGAGGCACATGCTGTAGTCTATGTTGTTGATGCTGCTTGCCCATTGCGCTTTGAAGATTCAAAATCCGCACTTGGTAATTCCTGTTTCATGCATCTAATTTTGTGGGTTGTATAGCCCTCTCAGGCTTTTAAGTGAAGTATTTTGATTATATCCTCGAATTGAATTATTACTTTCGATTTGGTTACCAGAAAAAGTTCTTCGGCATGAGGATCTTCAAGGAGCCCCTCTTTTGATATTAGCCAACAAGCAGGTGATTAAGCTGTTCTTGCCTCTTTGGCTTAGCCCCAAGGGAGAGAGGAACTGAGGTCTTGTTTCGAGAGGAAATGCAAACATTTTGGTTGTTCAAACTTCTGATTTAATTTTAGGAGATATCATCCTTGTCTGTGTAATATTGTAGGGATATATATCCAACTTTTGCTCTCTTTTGGATATGTTATTTTTGATCAGAAACTTCTGTGCCAGGATCTTGCTGATTCCGTATCAGTGGAAGAACTTGCTCGCTATCTTGATCTAAAAAAGTTGGATGAAAGGGCTTACACTTTTGAAGCTGTTTCAGGCTATGATGGGTGAGTAGATAGCTAGGGAATTTTAATGTCTTGCTGGTAACTTTGTGATCCATACATTTGCTAGGAAAATGAAGGTATATGGAAGAAAATTTGGAATCCTGCAACCATTTAAGATTGAATGATGCTGTTTAGATTCCAAGTTTTCTTCTTTTCATTCATCTCAAGTAGAGTAGATGAACAAAATTGTAAATTGTCAGTTTTTGGATTTATCATTGCAGGATGGGGATTAAAGAGAGTGTAGAGTGGCTAGTAGATGTTATGGAGCGAAGTAAGAGAACTGAAATGTTGAGAGTTCGTGCTGGCATAACAAATCCTGGTTCGGTTTAGAAGAGACTATACCTATTTTATATTTCATTTTGTCACTCTTGCAACTTCTGTAAGTAATTCAGGGTTCAACCAGAATCCTGCATGATTGGAACTTGATCAATTGATTACACCTTGAGGCCAAATAGTGGTTTTCTGTTTGTGTTACTTGAGTGAAATTGATGTGATCACAATTTCCAAAAAGAGAATTTGTGATTCTTGTCTTATGAGTTGTAATACAATGGAACAAGTGAAAAGACATCTTTGTGATTTTAAATTAAAAGATTTTGCTTCTATTGGGTGGTTGCTGTCAAGTTATTTACGCATGGGGGTAAAATATCTCCATTTTGTATGCTTATTGGTTTGGAAACTTTAATTCCCCTATTTTATATATTTGCTAGTTTAAACCTTGTTATGGCTAATCTCTCTCTCTCTCTCTCTCCCTCTCATAGGAGGTGATTTTTTTTTTTTTTTTTTTTGGGGGGGGGGGGGGG